CTCAAAAATCTTAACACCAAAAAAAAAAAAAGAAAAGAAAAGAAAAACCAATCAAAAAAAAAAAAAAAGGGCCAAGAAACTGAACAGACACTTCTCAGAAGATGATATACAATCAATCAACAAATATATGAAAAAACTTTCAGCATCTTTAGCAATTAGAGAAATGCAAATCAAAAATACTCTAAGTTTTCATTTCACTCCAGTCAGAATGGCACCTATTAAGAATACAAACAACAATAACTATTAGCAAGGATGTAGGGAAAAGGCACACTCTTACATTGCTGGTGGGACTGCATATTGGTACACCATTCTGGAAAGAAAGTAGCATGGAGATTTCTTGGAAATCTGGGATGGAACCACCATTTGATTCAGCTATCCCATTCCTATGTTTATACCCAAAAGACTTAAAAATAGCCTACTAAAGGGACAGAGGCACATCAATGTTTATAGTAATACAATTCACAAAAGCTAAATTGTGGAACCAACCTAGATACTCTACAGTAGATGAATGGATAAAGACAATGTGCTATATATACAAAATGGAATATTACTCAGCATTAAAAGAGAATAAAATCATGTTATTTGCAGGTAAATGGATGCAGTTGGAGAATATGCTAAGTAAAGTAAACCAATCCCCCCAAAACAAATGCCGAATGTTTTCTCTGATATAAAGATGGGGGTAGGGGCAGGGAGCATGAAGGAATAGACAAACTTTAGATAGGGCAAAGGGGAAGGAGGGGAATGGAGGGGGTTTGGGGGTGGAAAGATGGTGGAATACGTGGACATCATTACCCTAAGTACGTATATGAAAACACGAATGGTGTGACTCTTCTTTGTGTACAATCAGAGACATGAAAAAAAGTGCTCTATTTGTAATATGAATTGAATTGCATTCTGCTGTCATCTATAACAAATTAGAATAAATAAAATGAAAAAGAAATCATTCTAATGCAAAGCAGACTTCTGCTTACATCTTATTTTTTAAAATATTTTTATTAATTGTAGATGGACACAATATTTTTATTTTTATGTGGTGATGAGAATTGAACCCAGGGCCTCACACCTGCAAGGCAAGCACTCTTCCACAGAGCTACAGCCCCAGCCCTGCTTATCATGTCTTATTGACTATATCTGGAATTGACCTCTGTTACTAGCAAAAGGGAATGGTATTGTGATGCTCATCTTAGATCAATTATATCTATCCTCTAAAGCTGGGAGATAGATCTAGTCTTCTAAATACCTTGCTACATCTTCCATATCTCCCTTCACCCCACCCCCAAATAGGATTTTTTTAGACTATAGAAAAAGTAGGACAGGAATAATACTAACATCTGCTATAATTTTCAAAGTGATAATCCAGATGGGTATTGCCCATTTCCTCACTTTAGTGCCTTACAGAAGAATATAAATATATATATTTGGTACCAGGAATTGAACCCAAGGATGCTTAACTACTAAACCACATCCCTAACCTTTTTGTATTTTTTTGAGACAGAGTCTCACCAAGGTGCTTAGGGGCTTGCTAAATTGCTGAGGCTGGTCTTTTAACTTGCAATCTTCCTGCCTCAGCCTTTTGAGCCTCTAGGATTACAGGTGTGTGCCACCACACCCCTCCTTACACAAGGACCATAACTTCTCTTGATCCATACTCTGGCTACCAAGCCAACCAAATTCAAACAATGGGAGGAAAAAAATGAATCTAGCATTTGTGACTTTTTTATACTTCTCTTTGAACAAAACTCTGTAGTTAAGATAAGATGTAAGTCAAACTTCAGTGTTCCCAACCTGTAAATACTACTCACCCTCACATAGTGAAAATGTATGTTTTCACAAATAGGGTAGAGCTCCTGGGTAATCAGTAATTGTGTGCTCTGTTTCCTCTATTGTAGCCCAGTAGAAATCGCACTTAACAAATCCTGCCGTTTATATTTTCTCCTCCATAGGTACTTGTATTAGTGATCCTGCAGGGTTTTATTTTCATGGGAAATGTACACCGCAAAAATGAATACTTTTGCATAAGAGGAGAAAAAATTACAGTGAAAAATTTAAACAAAGGTAGAACAAGAAATTTGTTATAGTTGTTGTTTAAACTGACTTTTAAAATCAGAACTCAAAACGGGCATCCTGGTCTGTTTTATTTGTCCAACAAAACGTTCACAGGTTTTTTTCAGTTTTGAAAGCCTTTCATTGGGGCTGGTACCCTTCTGTTTGCTACAGGCCCCTTCAACCCTCTTATGCTTTCCCTCACATTCATGGGCCACCATTCTCGCCATCCCAGTAGGCACTTGAATTCGCTAATCCCTACCTCTTATGGATAAACCAAAATTAATGTGAATAATTTTCCTATTTGCCAAAAACTTTTAACTGGACTTGAAAATGAGTTTCACAATTAATAATATACTCTTCTCCAAGACAACTAGGTTTTTGGCATGCTACCTTAAATTGTTTTGGCTGGACTTTTGTCACTAATAGCCTTTTCTAAATAAGTGAAACACAAAGTGGTATTGTGTATTTGATTTATTTGACTAAGTTGTGTTCACGGACACATGAGGCAATTTTGCATTATCAAATTATGTATAATTTATACTTATAATTTTTATTTATGTTGAAGCACATTTAAAAGACCAAAATACTTAAAGAAAATAACTCAAATGTATATAGATCTCCTTTCAAAAGTATCAGAACATTTTGTAACTACTTCACAAAAAGTTATTTTCTATAGTATGAAATATCCACACAGTCTCACAGAATGAAGAGGGAAATTCATACTCCTTATTTAAAGTATTAAATCTCTAATATCATATCTTTTTTCTTCACAAAAAATAAACTTTAACTAATGCTAAAAATGTTTTACTTTAGCAAATAGTTGAATAATGCTTTCAATGAATGGAAGAACTTGGGCCCTTGAAAATGAATGTTAAGTAGTTCTGAATTCTCCCCTCCGTTTTTCATGTGGACACTGCCTCCTAGATCATTTTTATACTATCATATTTAGGTTGTGTGGATTAGAGCTCTCTTCTGCCAAAATAATGGTGAGCTACCTGTGTTTCTATTTACTGCTTTCCTGCCAAATCTCCAGTCCCCCTGTAAAAGTAGTTTGCTTTTTTGATGCTGTGATTATTTTTTTCCCTCTAATGTCTATATTATTAACTCCCAGTCTTAGTTTGGTCTGCTTGCATTTTCTGCCCATTTATTTGCCTAAAAAGATAAGCCAACATTAATTTGCAAAGGACATGGGGAGTGATGAATATAAGATGATCTTTTAAGGATTCGTCCATCTCCAACATTTGTTCACCAAGCTTTAAAAACACTAGTGTCATACCATTACTGTTTATTTTGATATATGTCCTTAAAAAGGTTTGTCCTTAAAATTAGAGGCTGGGGTTAGGGCTCAGTTGGTAGAGTGTTTGCCTTGCATGTGTGAGGCACTGGGTTCGATCCTCAGCACCACATAAAAACAAATAAATAAAATAAATGTATTGTGTCTGTCTAAAAGTAAAAAAAAAAATTTAAAGAAAATGATAGAGCTACTTGAAATGGCAAAATAAAAGTCTAAAATATTTTTCTGAATTATGAGAGACAGAACAAAGTAGCAAGACCTTCTGAGTAAGTTGTTTACAACCCTGAGGAAGCATTAAAATTCTCCAAGGAGCTTTCAAAATTACGGATGCCTAGATTCATCTCCAGAAATTCTGATTTAATTGGTTTGGAGTGCAGCCTGGACATGAGATTTTTATAAAGTCTCCCAGATGATTTTAAAGTACAACCAATGTTGAGAACCACTGGTCCATCTCCAGATTGTCTGCTCCCATTAACCATAATATCTATTCTTTAACCTTAATCTTGATTTTAATCAATTGGTACATTTTTAAAACACAGTCTCTCAAACTTTAGTTCCAGAAACTTAAATTATATTTGTCTGAGGTGGAACTCAGGCAGTTTTTTCTTTTAAGTGTTATAATTTTAATGTGAAGTTAAGGTTAAGAATTTAAGAATTGTTGTTCAAGAACCAAGATGTTCAACACTGCATCATGGAGTTGACAGTATGATATACTGTCATTATTTTCATTTTTTTGATGGCAAGCTATAACCTTTGCTTGCTAGAAGAGTTCAGTGGCACAAATTCAGTTTTGTAACTAATCTTCTTTAGAAAATTATTTGTAGTAACAGCTGTTTTAAAAGGTAAACTGAGACACATTAAAACATTTAAGAGTTTATTTGTGCATTTGGCAATTCATAGGTCAGACCACTCTAGACCCCCAGCAGTTTGAGGACTCTGCCAAAGGGGCCCAGAAGGAGGCTTTTATATGGTGAATGCAGAAGCAAGGCAAAGGAAAATTTGGGTAAAGTAAAGCAGTGTCGGACTCACTGGAGCACAAAGACCCTACTTAGAGGTTAGTTGGCAGTTACTGACTGGTGAAGCTGGCTTCACTGTACTGTTTACACTGAAATGGGTTTGGATCTGCTCAGGTAGGAACCCAGAGAGCTGGAGCTGCCGCGGCCAATGGTCTCCTACTGAATTATTCTAACTCAATAACAGTTCTTCAGGATTCAGTGGGAAAATTGCAGGACTGGACATTCTCCCAGTGAGTGGTTTTGGATTTGTTCGGCTGTAACTCTTGGTCTAGTTAGTCACTGTAATTTTGCTGTGACAGCTGATATTCAGAATTTTTAGTCGCTCTGAGGCAGTCTCTGCTGGGCGTTTGCCACCTCCAGGAGATTCAAAGCGACTTGGGATGTTTTCAGTTTACTCCTCTTATTTAAATGAATGAAAATGGCTCCAATATAGCGCACAATCCCCCGAATAGCTTTCTATAACACACGGATCTGAGGATGTCCTTTTGCAAATTTAAGGCTTAGTTATTTTAAATAACGTTGAGCCAGCAAGTGAGATGCACGGACCGACCACGCCATTGAGCGCGAATGGCAGACGGCGCATGCGTGGCACCGCCCTTGGGCGGGGCCTGGCGGGCCGAGCGCCCCCCTGTGGTCACGTGAGGGAACCGCCCGGGCGCGCTCCCGCGACCTTCGCTCCGGGGAACTGTAGAGAGCGCAGCCATGGCCATGGCCAACGACGCCAAGCCCGACGCCGAGACGCTGCAGGTGCTGCAGGACATGGCCCACCGCCTGCGAATCCACTCCATCAGGGCCACGTGTGCCTGCAGCTCCGGGCACCCCACGTCGTGCTGCAGTGCCGCGGAGATCATGTCGGTGCTCTTCTTCTACGCCATGAGGTACAAAGGGACCGAGCCGGAGCACCGCGACAACGACCGGTTTGTCCTCTCCAAGGGCCACGCGGCTCCAATCCTCTACGCCGCTTGGGCCGAGATAGGCGACATCCGCGAATCCGACTTGCTGAGCTTGAGGAAAATCCACTGCGACTTGGAGGGCCACCCCACGCCTCGACTCTCGTTTGTGGACGTGGCAACAGGGTCCCTGGGGCAAGGACTAGGCGCTGCCTGTGGAATGGCGTACACGGGCAAGTACTTCGACAAGGCCAGCTACCGGGTGTTCTGCCTCATGGGAGATGGCGAATCCTCAGAAGGCTCTGTCTGGGAGGCTTTGGCTTTTGCTTCCCACTACAGTTTGGACAATCTCGTGGCAGTCTTCGACGTGAACCGCTTGGGACAAAGTGGCACTGCCCCCCTGGAGCACTGCACAGACATCTATCAGAGTCGCTGCGAAGCCTTTGGATGGAATACCTACCTAGTGGATGGTCATGATGTGGAGGCCTTGTGCCACGCATTTTGGCAAGCAGCTCAAGTGAAGAACAGACCTACTGCTGTCATCGCCAAGACCTTCAAGGGTCGAGGTATTCCAAACATTGAGGATGCAGAAAATTGGCATGGAAAGCCAATGCCCAAAGAGAGAGCAGATGCAATTATCCAGTTAATTGAGAGTCAGATACAGACCAACAGGAATCTCATGCCCCAGCCCCCTGTGGAAGACTCACCTCCGATCAGCATCACTAATATAAAAATGACCTCTCCGCCTTCTTACAAAGCTGGTGACAAGATAGCTACTCGGAAAGCATGTGGTCTGGCTCTGGCTAAGCTAGGCCATGCACATGAAAGAGTTATTGTTCTGGATGGTGACACAAAGAACTCCACCTTTTCTGAGATATTCAAGAAAGAACACCCTGAGCGTTTCATAGAGTGTTTTATTGCTGAGCAAAACATGGTTAGTGTGGCACTGGGCTGTGCCACACGTGGTCGTACCATTGCCTTTGCTAGTACCTTTGCTGCCTTTTTGACCCGAGCATTTGATCAGATCCGAATGGGAGCCATCTCCCAAACTGATATCAACCTCATTGGTTCTCACTGTGGAGTATCCGTCGGTGAAGATGGACCATCTCAGATGGCCCTAGAAGACCTAGCCATGTTTCGGAGTATTCCCAATTGCACCATTTTCTATCCAAGTGATGCTATATCAACAGAGCATGCTGTTTATCTGGCTGCCAATACCAAGGGCATGTGCTTCATTAGAACCACCCGACCAGAAACTGCAATCATTTATACTGCACAAGAAAATTTTGAGATTGGACAGGCCAAGGTAGTCCGCCACAGTGTTAATGACAAGGTTACAGTTATTGGAGCTGGAGTTACTCTACACGAAGCCTTAGCAGCTGCTGATGATCTTTCTCAACAAGGTATTTCTATCCGTGTCATTGACCCATTTACTATTAAACCCCTGGATACAGCCACTATTATTTCCAGTGCAAAAGCCACAGGTGGCCGGGTTATCACAGTAGAAGATCACTACAGAGAAGGTGGTATTGGAGAAGCAGTCTGTGCAGCTGTCTCCAGGGAGCCTGGCATCCTTGTTCATCAGCTGGCAGTGACAGAAGTGCCTCGAAGTGGGAAACCCAGTGAATTGCTGGACATGTTTGGAATCAGTGCCAAACAAATCATAGAGGCTGTGAAATATACTTTAATGAGCTAAATTAGCTCATTTTTTAACAAATCTGTTGACTTTGGTCTTAAAACACTAGTGGTTTTATAGTGAATTTATACTTGTTACAAAACCATCTATACAGTTGTACTGGTTTTAAAAAAGCAAAGCCACTTAACACAATTACTAATTCCAAAACTCAAGTTATTGAACTTTCTGCTAAACTCTAATATGTAAATGTCTATCTCGTTTTTAAATCTTTAAAGTGAGTCATAAACATTTTAAGTTGTAGAATAGTAAATAAAGCAACCACTTAATATAAAGTTCTTTGATAAGACTACAAATAATTGACTGGGCTGGGTATGAATCTAGAGGTAACTGCTTCTTAAAAATGTATAATTTCCTTATAAATTAAGAAAATGTGAATTTTAGATTTTAATAGCCCAGATTATAAAGCAAACTTGAACTTTCATAAAATGCCATCACCATGCTGTGCCCGAAGTTTCCCAGATGATATTTTACTGAAGTTTCCTTGGAATTTCCTTTGAAGTTCATCTCCACTCTACAGTTTAAGACAGAAGAACAACAGCAAAATCTCTTATGATGCATCACGCTGTTTGTGGTGAATATTGTGTAAAGAAATGAAAACAACTATTTCCAGTGTGTATGCTACGTGCACTTTTTTGTGTGAAAATTCAGAAATGTTTCACTTTTTTGTGATTAAAACAGATTGCTAATTTTATTATATTTATCTATATAATAAAGTGTTTTAAAATAAACTACATTATTTGGTTTCTGTTGTATATATGTGACTTGGTTTCTCATAAAACTATAATTCAGGAACATACTTTTAAAGGTTATGTCACCCAGTGTCAAACCTTGAGAAAGGTTGGGGCTAGAGACAAATCACTAGCAAACAATGGATTAACTGAAAAGTCATCTCTTAGGCAGATTTCTCACTTTTGGCTGTGAGTGCATAAATCATACACTTGGAACATGAGAAGTACCAGTGCAGTAAATTAAAAATGAACCCTGAAATCCATATTAAAGTTACTGAGAGTATGTCTATGTCAGGTAGTTTGCTTAATTTTGTTGCCCTCGTTAAAGTCCTCATTAAGTTCTTTGGAGGTATAACCAGTTTTTCTTGGCAATGGTTACAGGTGTGATAGAAAATATGATTTCTTGGGAATTAGAAAAATCAGAGCCTAAGTAATTCTGCTACTGTCCTCTTTCTCTGAGCTAGTTTTCTCTTTTGTAAAATGATCATGATGAAGTGTTTTTATAAGATTTAAAATTTAATTTGAAAAAAGTTGACATAGGAACATTTTAGAAATTTGGAAAATGCAAATATGCAAAAAATTATCTCACACTTTATCAAAAAATTAAAAATAAAAGTATTTGCCTGTATGTGATGGATTTTCCAATAGAGTCATTTGAATTTAGTAAAGTCAAATATCCCATTTATTCGTGAGTCGTATGCTAATAAATGATAAGTCTCTATCCTTAAATTTTTTATATCTTTAATGATTCAATGTTCAGTAAACTAGGTAAAATATTGATTAAATAAATAGCTTTAATGTTTAATAAAATTTTATTAAATTTAATAAAATAGCTTGTTATAATTTGGAGATGCATCAGAGGACAGTCTTCTGCTTTTGTTAGTGGTAACATGAATGTGGGTATGCAAAATGGTCTGTTTTCAACCAAAAAGGTATAAAAGGTTTATACCTTTTAGTAGTGACAGTAGATCAAGAATTTTTTTGTAATGGTTTGTAGAGTCTTAGATACCACCAGAAATTATATATTTTTTATAGTAGAATAGGGAGGCCCTTAAGAATCTGTACTGTAAAGTTTCTATTTCCATAGGGTTTTGATCCTTGGCTATCAGATCTAGAAAGAAGAGAAAGGGGGTGAGACTTATCGTGTCTATAATTCTTCAAGTAAGATGAAACTATGTCAATTTTGTTATAGTGAATGTTTTCTGGCCTTGAATCTATCCTGAGATCTCTTACATGTCTAGGGAAATCTTAGGAAAGAATCATCCTGGCTGATGCTAACCCTGGGCTGCTAAAGCTTGTGAAGATGTAGTTTTGATGAACAATGGGATTGCTGGTTCAACTCTGGTCCTCGGTTCATTGTTTTGCCAAGGTCTTTTAGATTATCAAGAGAGCCTGATGATATTCCAGAGACAGATGTGACACCACAGTATCCTTGCTTACATTGTGGTAATAAAGGCCAGCTGACAGCATCTGAGAATTGATACTGATCATTCAGATGGTAAACGGCTCCCGGGTCATGTCCTTATTTCTGTTACTGTCAGAGAGAGGAATCAGGACAGTAAGGTTTTATTTCACTTTACTTTGTTTAATAAATTTTCTTTATTTATAAAGTTCAGTTGAAGGCTCTATTTAGGAAGAAATTAACTTTTTAGAGATAAAGACTCAATGCTTCTGATTTTAAAATTAATGAAAAGTAATGTTAGGTCATGCATGAGGTTTAGTTACCCCAAAGTTTACTGAACTGTACTGGAATTACTAAATTCTCCAGGACCTAATCAGAGTCATTCTGGTTTGAAGTGTTGAGATGTATTGATCTATTTTGGTGGCCTTTACTATTATGTAAGGGAAGCCCTGGGACATCACTGAAATAGGAAAGAATGTCGTGTTCTAGAAAGAAACCATCTCCTCTTTTCCTTAGGAGAGGAGAGGGAACACTGAACTAATTGCTTTCACTGACAATGGTGGGAGAGGTGTTCCCTAAGAAAACTGTTTATAAGGCATGAGGTTAATGGCAAGAAGGGAAGATAGGCATTTCATTGCCAGGTTGGATGCTGACTTGGACACGGACTTGCTTCCCTGACTGTGGAGTTACCTGTTGAAACAGGAAGGTTGGCAAATACTGCCAACAGGCAAAATGTGCCTCACTTGTATTTGCAAGCTAAGAATAATTGAAAAAATTTGAAGAGTACTTTTTCATGATGTGAAAATTATGTGAAATTTAAATTTCAGTGTACATGAATAAATTTCTATTATAATATACCCCTATTCATTCCATTGAGTATTGACTGGGGCTGTTTCAGAGCTACAGTGACAGCATCAAGTAGTTGTGACAAACACCATACAGTCTTCAAAGTCTAAAATATTAATTATCTGACTTTCACATTAGATGTTTGTAAACTCTGGAGTAGAGCACTGGGAAGAGATGAGAGTGATGGTATAAGCATGTGGTGGAGATAAAGACCCCTTCACCCTTAATGTTGTCTCCAATTTTATAAGACTTTCAGTCATCAAAACAGCTTCATTCTATTTAAGCTTATCACATAATGTTTAAAGCTGCAAACTCAAAGTTCTCCCTTTCTCCACAGAGGCTCAAGTATATGTCGAGGGGCATTCTTTCCTTCGAATCCTTTCCTCTAACCCTCTTCCCAATAGTTTATCCAAATATACTACTGTCACCTCTCTGTTGAACACCACTTCTGGTTAATGTTATAAACTCAGCAAGGCGTAAGGTCAACTGATCCCAAATCAAAGATTTGATAGCACTCTTTGAGCTGGGATTCCCTTCTAAGAGGGATCAGACTTTTCTTTTATTCCCAAATGCAGACAGACATCGTAGGATTTCTCAGATAGATGCCTCCCTCTCTCCCCTGCACCGCAGTCTCTGGTAAACCTGTGACATCTAATCTTGTTAACACTTTGTAGTCTAATACGGAGGCGGCCTTCAAGCCTGAACCTGAAGAAAGAGAGATTGGGGAAGGAGAGATTGAGAAAGAATGAGGACAGAGCCAGAGACAAAATACACCCTTCAAAGGCATGCTCCTGTTGACCTACTTTCTCCAACTGGGGCCCACCTTCTAAAGTTTCCAGTACCTCTCAATAGAGCCACCAGCTGGGGACCAAGCCTTTAACACATGCGTCTTTGGGAGACATTCCAGATGGAACCCCTTGCCTCACTGCACCAGTGCTGTCTTTCTCACAAACCAGGTGTGTACAGGTGGAGGTGTGTGCCTGCCGTACTGGACTATTTGTCAGTTCTTGTGTCTATGCTACTCTCTTAATTATCATCACTTCATAATATCCAATTATTTTAAGACCCCCCCCCGTTTCTTCTACTTTTTGTTCTTTTTCAAGATTGCTTCTCTTATTCCCCATCCTTTAATTTCAATATAAATTTTAGAAATAGTGACAGTTTCCACATATTCAGTTGCTTCTTGATGCAATGACAAATGGATTTATGTTTCTTCTTAATAATGTGATTTAAAGAGGTCATGTTATTAAAAATCATTGGGGAAGTTAAGCTGAAGATATTTCATTAAAGGAATTTTAGCAAGCTAAGTTTGGTTCTCATAGTCCTGAAGACTTCTCAACTTGTATGCACACATGAAAGATTCTGAATCTATTTGCAGATCCTTCAACCCATGATTTTATTCATAAAATTGGTCTGCCTGGGAATACCACTGTGATCCTTTCCAATATTCTCTTTCATAGTATTCTTTTCTACTTTTCAAAAGAAAGGCGTACTTCTCATCCACCCTTAATGTCATCATACATTTCCAGTGATGAGATCATAAAAGTGACAAGCAAATGAACTTTTCAGAATATTGGTTCTGAAAAACCCCTAATGAAGTCACTATGAACTGTCAGTGAATCATTGTGTTTTTCCTTGTCTTACTCCTAATTTTGGTTAAGGTAAAGCCTGAAATTAGACAGCAGCTTCAACCCATATGAGTATGTCCTTAATTCAAGATATATTGTAGACTGAGTGATGGCCAGGATGACCATTTTTGTTTAACCAGTTATTTCCTCTCATCTCTGAACTGATAAATTTTTTTGTTGATAGTCAGGATAGCAAAGCAAAGAACAGCAGTTAAGAAATACTGAAGATATATTAGTTTTCTGGCCATCAAACTCTAACAAGTCTTTGTGTCATATTTACCTATGAATTTTAGCAATGGAATATTCAAGACTTACGGAAAGTGTATTCAGTCTTCTCATAAAGATAAGAAGCCTGCTAAAGACTCTCATTCACGTGAACCTATTGTTAGAATTAAAGTTTGCATGATATTGCAGATGAAGTTGAAAGTTCCATGTTTATTTTTGACAAACCAATAGATTATTTTATTTTTTTCTCTACTATTTGTTTAGATACACTTGATACATATTTTTTCATGACATGTGACAAAAATTTCTGAATACTGCACAGCTATGTTATACATGCTCTCATTTGGGTATAAGACTCCCATATGTTGTAAATGATGGACTGTTTTTTTTTTTTTTATCACCAACACTCCTGGTTATTTGCAATGATACACATTCTTATCACATAACTTACTGAATCTAGATTGACTTCATTTCAGTTTGTTGTGCATTTTGCTGTATGAATGGAGCATTTAAGAGATAATTATTAATGCACCATTGTAAACCTTAATTTACTTTTGGCCCAATATGTTCTCTTACTTTTGATGATAATTCCACAAATTAGATAAAAATTGCTCTCTTAATATCAAAAATCTTAAGTGCAGGTACAGGTCAAAATGTACTCCTGCTGCAATCTAGGACAATCTGGGACATGGTGCCCTAAACTTTACAGAACCCACTTCTTTTAGTCAGAATTCATTTATCCCTTTCAGATTTGTGTATCATACTAATGCTATTGGACATATTAAAAATATGATAGAACAATTTTATTGTAAAAGATAAATTAATAATATGACAAAAACTATATCCTTAAATAATAATAAAAATCAGATATAACCTTAAATTTTCTGGAGACATGGGAAGAAAA